CTTACTCTCCATTCAACTGGACTCAGCAAAACACCTCTGTGATAACTAAAAAGTTGGCTGTTATCAAGAGATAAGGATTTAGCTCTTAGCATAGCTTTCAAAGTAAACAATCTTCTGACATGCGAAAGCGCTTGGAGCCTATCCAAAAAGTTCCTGCCAGTTTTATTCTTTAACTTGCTTCTTGTTCAGAGTGGATTCATAAGCAGCACTTCAGTTGTTTCAGTTCATCAAACAATTTTAAGGCTCCTTTGGTGTATGAATGAAACTCCACAGATTTTTTTCTTTTAACAACTGAAGAAGACAACATTAAGGTACACACGTCAGAGCCAAACAATGCTTAGCAGTGTGGCGTTCGACAAATGCTCCAAGTGGTACAGGTAGGAAGACACTGAGCAAAAAAGAAACTTTTCATCATGTAAAACAATGTTGTTGTGCCACAACCTGCCTAGTGCCCAGCAGGCTTCAGAAGAACCACCTCTTCAAATACTTCACAGTTTTAGTTTTAACATCTGACCAGAAAGTCCTGAAGGAAACCAAGGCAAAAAGCTGATGATAGAAGCTCACTTGGCTTTGCAGAGTGAAAATGTCAAACTGGGGCAGCAAATCCTATTCGGCAGAAAACAGAAAGTAACACTCCTGAGGACTGGGTGCCTGATTACCCAGGATTGTTGCAAGGGAGAACATGGGAACTGCCCTGGAGACTGCCAGCCTGAGAGGGGACAGCTCGTGGGAGTAAAGCAAAAAAAGTGGGACACAACAGATACAGCAGAAGGACTGGAGACTCTGCAGAGCAATGGAGGGAGAGAGCTTTGACTAAATTAGAAAATTACTGCATATAGCTGTGGTCAACTGGCATTGTCCTGAGGGATCAAGAAGAAACACAACACAGTATGCCCCATTACAAGTCTTAATTTTAAATGCATAATCTTGTCAGGATTAACCTGACATCTATTATTAACCAGAAGATTTTAGCCTGAGAAAGTTCTTATTCAAAAGAGACATGTGATAATCAAATTTGTACTAAAATAAAACTAGAGCTGGTTTGCTTCTTGCAACAGCATACAGATTTCTTTTATACAAGGCAAGGACTGGTTGGTGACACTTGGTGACAGCACACAGCTGCTTGCTGAAGGGCATGAAGCAGTATGGAAAAAAACCTCAAAATTCAATGCTTCTGTAATAATTTAATGGGCCTCTGGAAGTCTTTCACTGAGCCTCTCTACTTGAAGTGGAGCCATCACCAATACTAGATCAGGGTCACTGTAGCTTTGTTGAGCCAAGTTCTAAACCTTTTCAGCAAAAAGAGATCCAGCACCTCTCTTGTAAACCATTCCCTTCCTTTGTCACTCTCCTTGAGAGCAAGTTTTCTCTGAAGCCCTTCCAGGGCCTCCCATAGTGCAATTCAGAGCTGTAGCCCCTTGATGTATTATATAGGGCTTGACCCCACAATCTTGTAGCTACCCTCCCAACAGCTGCAGGTTCTGGTTAGATCATCCTGCACCTTCTCCTCCCAGGCCTGCTCTCTCCAGCTCCCCTCGTAGCTCACATGCCCTAGCACCCTGACCACCTTGAACTCCATCCAGTTTTTCAGTATCTCTTAAACTGGAAGGCCTAAAACAGGGCACTATTTTAAGCGAGGCCCCCCCAGTGCTATGCCAAAGAGGTAATAACTACTTTCAATCTGCTGTTCATACTCTCTCTAAGGTAATCCTGCAGGTGGTTTGTCCATTGTATGCTGAGTGTAGTGTTGGCTCATATCAAATTTTATAGCCAAAGAAAGAAGTCAATTTATGATTCATACACTGTTGTTTTTCATAATGCAAATTGAGAGCTAAACACCCAGAGGCTAGAATCCATTGGCATGTATTTGAGCAGTGCCTTTAAAGAGTCGTGGTGGACAGAAAGCCAAAATCAGCATGGAGAAGTAGAGGATAATACTGGAGGCCCTCATAAGTTCACACCAGATTGATATGCATGGGCACAACCACACATTTCACTCTAAAAACAGTTCACTAATGCAGATGGGACCGCATTAGTGCAGGAACCAAACAAGGGAGGTCTCCGCCCTGAGTGCCAGCTTAGTCACCAAGAAGTTTGCCCTGAAGTACCCTACCAAATCCCATTTCACTCTGCAGACCTCCTCTCACCCATGAAAAGACAAACAAGCAACTGCTATAGAGAGGCTGCCTAATGGGCAAATAAAAGGCACTGAAACTGCTCTGTTAAAGAGACTGTTGCAAGAACATACCTTGGGCTAGGAAATTTAAAAGGCTCCAAATGTGGTTTTATGGGTAGGATAAGTTAACATACAGCATGTATGTTAGGTTGTATCTAAGAGGGACTAAGAATTTAGACTCAGATGTTTTCTCTAGACCCTGCAATCAATGCATAGAAGATGTGAGTATGAATTCATCACTGCATGGTCAGTATCAAAAAGCCACTGTACAACACAGTTTAGGCAGGATGGGAGCCTCAAATAATGGCAAAAAAAATAATGACAGTCACACGGACTTAGATGCTTAACAGTAGCAAAAATCAAGATAGAAAGTCAAGTAAAATTTCAGGTGGTGACTGGGGAAGACAGTTACACAGCAAAGGTTACAAAAAGACAAGCAATAATCTGTGCTGGCACTGGTTTCTGTCAGCCAATACTTAGAAAAATACCCCACAAGAGTTGCCACTGTCTCAGAAATTTAACACAGAGGTTAGCAGAGCCATCCTGTTCTTATCCAGACCTTTTCCCTTGGAGAGTCAGCCAGCTGACTGAAAACCAGCAGCAGAATCAGAAGTTACTGAGCAATTTATTAACTAGTAGAACAAGTACCAAACGTTATAAATTCAATAATCATTGATATAGACGATACTTTACCTGCAAAGGACCTCAAAGTAGGTTAAAAAAATGTTCTTCAAATATTTTCATTCAGATCTTGTGACGCCGGAAAGTGCCTTTCAAGTACATTAGGCACTCAGCCATTCCACAGATCTTCATGTGCTCACACTAAAACTAATATTCAATCTACTGTTATAAAGGAAACCCTGAAAGTGAAGTGCAAGAGGATGGTTCGTAGGCACCTTGGTTCACAGGTTTCTGGCAAGCCTCCATCCGCATTAATGATTCCCAGTTGTTAATTCCTTGGCCCTCTCAGCCTTGGCATCCCTTAGGACTTTTACATTTTGCCATTTCAGCAACTCCTTGATTACATACATTGCTACTGCTCAACTGCAGGGGCCATAAAGGCAGAGATTTGCTTGTGATGGAGCTGCAACATTTTTGGAAGTTACAGTCCTTCTGCTGAGAATCAAGACCTTACCAGATGGCTGCTCCTCAGCCATTCAGGATAAGCAAATGTGTTTTTCTTGCCGAGAGAAGGAGAATCCAACAATGCAGGAAAGCAATAAAGAGTTACTGGGCAGAATTCTCATAGCGACAGACTCTTCTGTACCTTCAGCTTTTCAATACTTGGGATCTGCAGTTACCTGAACAGCAGTTGGTTTTGTCCCAGCAAGGTGGGCCACTAAAGGAACACACTCTTTTGGATTCCCATACAGAGACAATTCCCAAGATCTGACTGAGTGCCAATGAGACAAATGTCACACTGGGTAACAGATGTACTTCAGAACTAGAGCAGGAAAAAGTGAGGCCATACATTTAACCCTGCGGTACCTGACTGGAAGACGTATCTGGCCAAGCCTTGCATTAGTTCTGCAGGCCAGGTGGGAGGTGCTGACTCCCCTGTTTCTCTCTTCAGTCGAAACGTCAGCTCAAATCCAAAACCACTTGGTCCCTCTGTTCCCGTAAACCTGGAGGGAATGAAAAATAAAATGTCACGACATACTTCATGCAACCAGAGCAGGTCCTAAGGTTAGGACCATGGCAAAAGGATGAGTGTTCTCCTCATAGAACAGCTAACTTCAGAAATTCTCCTTCAGTCTACTCTGGCTCGAATGGCATAAGGTGGTTGGGTTAGTTGATGTAATACAATCTCAAAGATAACTATCACAGCAGTGTTTCCAGTCAGAATAATGCAGCCCTGGAACCATGACTTCTTTCATGGAACTGGTGGGATTTTCAGCAACTCAAATTTGTTTTCAAAACATCATTGTAAGTTTTGCACTTATAGCTAAATGGGAACACCAAAGAAGGTACATAACAGGAAATAATATTGTTCCATCCTTGTGAATTCAAATTTCTATGCATTGAGAAGTGGGACACAGGTGAAGTACTGGGTAGTAGGTTTCTGGGTTGAAGCAGCTGAATATTCTGGTGTACAACATACAACAGTGGAGGACAATAGTGGAAAAGCATTGAATACAACAACCACTGTTCACGCAGCAGTAGTGTGTCCATTTTCCCATCTGACAGAGATAGGTGCAAGTTGGTTGGTGTGGTCAGACAGGGTGTACTCAGGAGAACAACGTCATAAAGTATCAAGGCTGTAAGAAAAAGGAGTAAATAAAGGACAGCTCACAATACTATTTGCTTAAACAAAATTAGTCACAAGAATACTTCTGTGGAGTTTTGTCATATTTATATATATGGGGAATTTCCTGCTCCAAGTCCCAAACAGCTAAAAATGCCATATTTGTCTGTAGAAAACAAAAAACATCATGGGCAAATACATAAGCTTGCAAATGTGAAAACAAGTTAGGGACATCCATGTGATTTCTACCACTGTCATCACATCACTTGCTCATTTGCTGTGGCTATTCCACAAAGGCAGAGGAGAGAACAAAGGATTTACACTGAGCATAAAGACGCCTGACAGAAGCTTTCACAAACCAGCATCATTCTGCAAGTTCAAATCTCCAACACCTGCAGCTATTAGCAAATTCTCTGGAGAAATTTTGCAAATGTCTTGGATGCTGGTACCTTGCTGGCACATATCAAAGACACAATGCACAAAGGTTTAGTAACACTGTACAACTTCTAAAAACAGTCAAACAGAGCAGTCTGGAAAGTAACAAGAGCACTTTCCGTTTGAAAAACACAGCTCACCAGCAGAGCAGTGACCAGCTCCAAGTGCTGGAAGCACTGTCCCAGTAACGGGGGAGCAGAAATGCTCTACAGTGACCCTGCCTAATGACAGGTGTTGAAACTGATCAGACTTGAGCACCAATGTAACTCCATCATGCAAAGTAATGGAGGATTCCTTGAGGAAAAGTTTTACTGTAGTAGACTGTCAAATGATGTAATAAAAGTAGCTAAAACACAAGGCACAGGCAGATTAAGACTACGGGACAGACCAAAGAGGTAACAATAGTAGTTACAATTACAATGCACCTCAGACAACCTGAGATGGAGCATTTGCAGGAAGGAAACATCAAAATCAGTATTTTCTATCTGCATGTGGCCCCAGGAACAAAAACTGAAAGCTGCAACACAGCATTAAGTTTCTGTACTAACAGATCTGAATATTCCACATAGTTTGCTTTCTGCTGAACTCTGCAGTCTTGAGTGAAAGCTTCTTTTTTTTTAAATACTAAGGGAAAACAACTTGGGAAAAAACCCTATGACTGAAAATGAAGTACTGAAAGTCCATCTGACATCTGCAATGAAGAGGACTAAACAAGTAAAGTAAAGTAAAGACTAAACAAGCAAGTAAAGACTTGATTTCAATAGTCATCACAACAACATACAAGCAAATTCATTTTTGTTTCACTCCACATTATCCTCAACAAATACTTTGAGGCTAGAAACATTTCAGAATGCTCAACTAGTATATATAAAACCTCTTTTAGGAAAGAAGCCTACCTTTAAGCAACAAGTCAAGAACATTTGGTTCTTAAACAGAGCAAGAGGCTACTGAGTACCCAGGCAGGGAGTGGGATCTGACTGTGCAGTAAATCCTGTGCTCTGCAATCACATACACAGGTCTACCAAACAGACTGATACAGGATGGGGATATCCTCACAAATGCAAAGTTGTACTTTGTACATCTGAGCGTCCCTGCAGTGTTTTATTAGTTTCACATATCAGTTAGCAAAGGAAAACCAGAAGTATTTCTTAAAGGGAGAAGCAAAACCGCTTCAAAGTGGATAGTTTTTAAGGATTGATTCCAGGAAAAAGTACAAACCAAAAATTGAAACACATTATGAATGGGTCAATTTTAGGAAAGATCAAAGTTAACAAAAAGTCTTCAAGTTGATTTTTCATAGTTAAATTTTTTTGGAAAGTAAGATGGCTCCATATTGAATTTCCTTCTTTCAAGGCACATTCTGAAACAACAGAACTTTACTTCCAATATGCAATGAGCTAGAGTTTTGTGGGCTTTTTTCTTTTTTTGGACTTCTTGGTTCTCTGCTTCTCAAAAATAACTCTTTCAGAGAAGACCACACATGCTTTACATTGATCTGCATGAAACTTACTGGGTAACAGAAGTGTTCAGGTGAGTGAGTATCCATCAAATCTAAAGCAACATTTGCCTTCAGGAGATCATTGCTGATCAGCAACATATCAGTAGTCACAAAGCAGTAAAACTGACAGGCAATGCTATTTACACAAATTTGCTTGTATGGTAGTGAAAAAGCCACTAAAACAGAGAAGAGCTGCTAAATAGAATAAAAGATAAAGAAACAAGCATTAACTTACTTCCTTCCCAAGATTTTAAAAAACTCCCAAAGAATCAAGAGTACTGACAAAATGCAGCAGCATACAAAGCTTATAATTCTGAAATTATCACAAAAATCTCAGAAAAGTCCTATCTGCATGTAAGAGATTTGTATTTAAAGATTAGATTTTAAATGTTTTTGAACAGTTAATGGCCACAGGTCGCTGAAAATACACAGCTTTGCTAAGAGAAAATTTAAATACATGCAATTCACCTGCACTGTGCAGCTGCTCTGAGGGAACAAAGTGGAAGTCTTTGATCTGTTTAATTCTAGGTGGGTAATCTGGTTCAGAGGAAATTGTGACATGTGGCTTTAAAAACCTGTGATTATTTTGGAACTCCTCTATGTTTAATTTAGACAAGCCTTTCATAGGAAGAACTATTAATATTCAGAATGCAATTAGGATAGTAATTTTCAGTTAGCATTTCTGCCAAAACTTTTGCTTTTATTCTTCAAGAAAGACTTCTTTTGAAGGTAAATTGAATGTAATTTCAGCAGCTTCCATCAAATTTCTCTCACTGAACAATGGACCATAATCCAGGGCCAGAGCTCCTGGCCAGGGTTTGGAGGATGCACCTGAGGATGAAGGCAGACACAAGCTTCACAGCTACATAAACCTGTAAATTAGCTGCATCCTTCTGACTCCTGGCCTAATGAAAATCACAGCAAAGTATCCAGCAGCCAAGTTATGCAGCTTAGCTTCCCTTATGGAAGACCTTTTCACTAGGATGCAGGTACTTAACATAGCTCCAACTCCAAAACTTGTGAGCATAAGGGTGTATCATTCTGCTGGCAAAGAGACATGGAGCAGCCACAGCCATCAAATGCATGGGAAAGATTTTGCCTGGTTAGAAGCCCAAGACCAAGATACATGTGCAAATGGTAGGCAGAGCAAATGGTTTATTATCCCCAACAAGGATAAAGGGACTCCTCCCTTTCATTCCTTGTGGAAACACTGGATTCTTATGGCAGCCCCCTCATTGTAGAGTATATCTCCAATGCTTGAGGGTTGTTTTAGGTAGATGACAAGGAACTGGATAAGAAAAATGACCACACCTTGCAAGCTTGTAGATGTTCAGACTCTTACTTCTTCCCACACATTCTGAATGTCCCCCAAATTTCCAGAAAACTTCTAGAAAAATCAACCTTCAGCCAGCTACAGTAAAAGAACAAGCTAAATACCCCAAACAGTAGTTCCAGAAGACTGAACAAGCCTCATTTCCACAAAGAGCTGGGTGGAGGGGTGAGGATAACCCATAGATGGAGGAAGTAGTGCTAAAGCACATGTGAGCCATGACATCTTCCACTGACCTCCCCCGAGGTTCACTGCTACCTGCACCTGTAACTAACTTCCAGGAGGCAGCAAAGTGTCCACGGCAGGTCAGTGTGACACTGACTCCTGTGCCAGCTGCAGGGCCAACACGCTTTTATTTTACACTGTGTGACCCACAGAAGCAAGATCCTGGCACTATTTGGGGTTGGTTTCTCTGTGGGCTAGGGAGGTGAGGACTGGGATGGTGGGTTGGGGGGGGTTGGTGATGATTAGGCTGGTTGGTTTGATTTTTAGTTGTTTTGGGTTTTTTTAAAATCCGATGGTGACTGATCCAGACTTCAGTCAATTTAGAACAAAGGTTCTGGAGCTCAGTTCAGCATCTTAACACTGAAGTGCTTTGTAGGTCATTTCTTCAGCAAAACTATTACAACGCAGCAGTCCAAAAGTGCCTCAGCTTTACAGTAAAACAATGATCTGAGCATGTGCAGAAGAAAACCTCAAAATCAGTAGTTTTTATCCATGCATTACCCAAGCTACACAAACTGAAAGCTGCCGACACAACATTAAGTTTCTGCACAGACAGATCTGAGCATTTCACATAGTTTGTTTTACACTTTGGTTCTGGTGAATCTTGCAGTTTTGAGTGAAAGTTTCTTATAAACACTTCTAAAATGCTAAGAAGGAAAAAATACAAATCCATATTTTGCCCTCAAACTAAACAAGCTAACTATAAAGAGTTGGCATGGATCACACTGTGTCCACCACTGTTTGTCCCCTCCAACAAAAGGGGACATCACCTTTATAGCCAACTGAACTGCAAAGCAGCCAGCTAAGTTTTTACAAAAATAAATACTGATGGAGAAATTCTTGGCTTGCTGCTGCCCACTGGCACACACCAGATAGTTTTATATTATGACTA